ATTGATTTGGATGTATGCTTTGGGTCGTTGTCATGCTGAAAGATGAATTTCCTCTTCATGTTCAGCTTTGTAGCAGAAGCCTGAAGGTTTTGTGCCAATATTGACTGGTATTTGGAACTGTTCATAATTCCCTCTACCTTGACTAAGGCCCCAGTTCCAGCTGAAGAAAAACAGCCCCAAAGCATGATGCTGCCACCACCATGCTTCACTGTGGGTATGGTGTTCTTTTGGTGATGTGCAGTGTTGTTTTTGCACCAAACATATCTTTTGGAATTATGGCCAAAAAGTTCAACCTTGGTTTGAGCAGACTATAACACATTTTCCCACATGCTTTTGGGAGACTTCAGATGTGTTCTTTGCAAAATTTAGCTGGGCTTGGATGTTTTCCTTCATAAGAAAAGGCTTCCGTCTGGCCACTCTACCCCATAGCGCAGACATATGAAGAATATGGGAGATTGTTGTCACATATGCCACACAGCCAGCACTTGCCAGATATTGCTGCAGCTCCTTTATTGTTGTTGTAGGCCTCTTGGCAGCCTCTCAGACCAGTTTTCATCAATTTTGAAGGGACATCCAGTTCTTGGTAATGTCACTATTGCGCCATATTTTCTCCACTCAATGATGATGGTGTTCACTGTGTTCCATGGTATATCTAATGCCTTGGAAATTCTTTGCACCCGTCTCCTGACTGATACCTTTTAACAATAAGATCCCTCTGATGCTTTGGAAGCTCTCTGCGGACCATGGCTTTTGCTGTAGGAAGTGACTAAGAAAATATCAGGAAAGACCTACTAGAACAGCTGACCTTTTATTTATGGTTAATCAGAGGCACTTTAAATGATGGCAGGTGTGTACTGACTCCTATTTAACATGATTTTGAATGTGATTGCTTAATTCTGAACACATATACATCCCCAGTTATAAGAGGACATATGCAACCATATTATTTTAGTTTTTTATGTTTTCTCCCCCACTCAAAAGATTTCAGTTTGTTTTTCAATTTAGTTGTACAGTTTATAGGTCATTTTAAAGGTGGAAAAAGTTCTGAAATTATTTATCTTTGTCTCATTTTTTTTACAGAAACCTGACACACACACACACACACACACACACACACACACACACACACACACTCTCTTTAATTTTTGTTTTAGTTTCTGAAACACCACTCTGGGTATAATATGACTCACATAGGGAGAGAACTCACCAAACAGCAGGTCCCTGCAACATAAGTGGTATTCTACTCGCATCTCTGGGTACCAGTGTCTCCTACTATTCTTCCTTTCCAGCACTGCAGACTATTCTAATGACTGTTTAGAATTAAACACTTCCGGGAAGTGTACAGTGCCCATGTTCCCTGTTCCAAGCTGTGACTGTTGCAGTGCTGGACTGTAGGGAGGATAGGAGACCCAAGCTTCCAGAGAGGTGAATAATAATACCTTTGTGTTTAGGGACATGATAGGGTCTCTCTAACTGCAGTCCAGAGAGGTGAAGTCACCAACCTAGTTGTGCTATCTGGCAGAGCGGTGTAAATTCTAGGGCTAGATGGACAAAGTTTCAAAACATTTGAACTGACATAGAATTTATTACAGTATAGTGGTGTATTATGTATTGGGAATATATCTATTAGGGAAAAATTAACATACCAAGTATATTGAGGAAAATGGTTCTTATTGCTCATTGTAGCTACATTCTTTTTATTTACTCTTTGCAGTATGAAAGAGTAAAAACGACACTGGGTTAGTTTCTGTGGGAAACTGAAAATTAATCTTTAAAGTATATCTATGGTTAAAATGTAAAATCATGTCTCTGTTTCCACATTGTGTTTCAGTTCTTACTAGCTGAACTAACCTGAACAGTTTTGAAGTTTTGTAAATTTACTTTATGAAGAATCCCACACATTTACCTGAATTATGTGACATGTAACCACTATGCCCTGTGGGTAGGCACTGCTGTGTCACAGATTTTACAGAGCCTGTCTTCTGAGCAACAGAGGTTCTAAAAGGAGTTTCAGCAGGTGGAGTCAGTACAAGAATCATTGCTTGCAGGCAGCAAGGTACCATGGAATATGTAGTCTGTAGAATTTGGCAGTTAACAACAAAGAAGATGTAAAATGTATGCAGGAAATCCAGGAAGTTGTGTACAGAGATGAATAGCACACAGGCAGCACTCAACAATTATCAAATAATTATCTATTGTTTGTATTTCTGTTACAATGCTGAAAGTGTATCTGTAACTAATGAACTTCTTTTAATTACTTTGCCATACATGGGGCAGAAATTACATCGATAATTGCCTCTTACAATCCAAACCAATGGCCCTGCCATTGCTGCTTGTTGTATTTGCAGGAGTCGGTGGCGTGGATAATGGTTGCACTTTCACCAAACTATTTGCTTACTCTGGATAGAGAGCTGCCATATTCTATCTTTTGTGCGCCATCCTTTTCAGCATCATAATTATGCATGGTCCTTATGCGTCATTCTTCTTGTCCTTTTTATGGTGTTACATGCTGTTGTTGCAGACAAGCGCTGGAGGGTAAGCAGTGACAGCGGCATGTGTCTGCAGTTTTGATGTGTGTCTGTCCCTTTACTGCTATAGAGGTGATTTTATTGTGTGTGATCCCTGTAGCAGCAAAAGGGATTCCTCTTTTTTCCCCCTCAAGATTGCTCTTTACTAATGAGTATAAGCAGATTAATTGCATGTTTCTTATTTATAGTATAGTTTGAGACTAGTAGTTAGGGGTTTGTGTGCTTTGTGTGTGTAGTGTCTTGTGCTTTGACACATAACTGATAAAAGTCTGTTTTGACTTGAGCATAATTGCCATTTTGGTTGTGTATCTTGAAACTGCTTTGTAATGTGATCATGGAAGCTTGGCAGTCACATCACATCGATTGAGCAATCTCTTGTTCTGAGGTATGCGTGGGTGCCTGTCACAAGCAAGCTTTATTGTGCATGCTAATTTACACCAAGAACGTTCCTGACATTAAATCTCTTGCTTCCTTATCAGTAAGGTACCAGTAACAGCTGAAAGTTATGTCATTATTACATAGCTACTTGGGGGCGGGGGGGATGTCCTCTGACTTTAACATTTATGCTCCAGTTTTATCATCAATTTAGTGCAGTGGTCATTTCACCACTGCACTTGTAAGTTTTTAGCAACTCTAGCTTTGTTGAGTATTATTGAATATGTATTTATAAATTATATTTATTTATATTTATTATATATATATACCTTTAAGGGGATCACATGGACAATTTTAACTACAGTATTTTTTTTTTTTTTTTTTGCTTAAAAATATTTTTAGTTTTAAAGGCTAAGTCCACATTTTGCAAAAATAAGCAAATGCACAGATTGCAAAATAACTTTTTTTTTTTTTTGTAAACAAGCTTGCAAAGCATTGCAGTGGTGATTAGTGGATTGTGGGTACAGTTTGCAGGCTCCTGTAGGCACTTCTGTACCGAGGGTCAGACTTTCAGTTAGAAAGCTAGTGAAAGTGTCGATGGGCTAACAGTGCAGTGATCACTGCCCCTGTATTCCATTGAGAACTACAAGATCACCTGCCCTGTTTTGGCATGCTGGGGAGTCAAACCCCCGCACACTGTCAGAGGGAGGGCCTTTTGGGGAAGGGGAGGTTGACAGCCTGTTGCACCCTAAATGTGAATGTAACATGGTCTTAAAGATGGACTTAGCCTTTAGATTCACCAAAAACCTATTAGTTTTAGGTAGATACCAGTACTTTTGACTTGGTGACCACTGCTGGCATAAGGCCAAGAAAAATATATTACACTTGTTGCAAGTGTGGTGGAGCTTGGAGATCCCAGCACACCGTAAAGCCTCATTCACACAGCTGTATAGAGCTGTACACCGTGAAGGAGCATTTTTCTGTGTGGGGAGGCACAGGTGTTTGCATACAGCCCCAGCCAGTAGCCTGTAAAAGTCAATACAAGCTGCACATCCAAGTGCATAGGGACAGATGATTGGCTCTGGATGCAGACTCCAGTCAGGTTCGCTCTTCCATTCCAAACGCATGTAACTGCTTGGATGTGTGGTTACAGGTGTACAGCCATGATGTCTGTCAGCCTGTCATTGATTTGTAAAGGCTGTAGCTGTATGCAAACACCCGAGACTCCCAGGCATAGAAAAAACATTCCTTTGTAGTCTCGGTGGATGTATGAATGAAGCCTAAGAATATTTAGAAGGTTGAGTAAGCTACTTAAAGGTAAAATTGCTTATGGTTCTACATCAGTTAATGAACATTTTAGCATAGTTGTTAAGTAAATGTTTGCCTTGATTCATTTTCTTCTACTAGACCTATTTTTAAGCCATTGGTGGTCAGCCATTAAATGAAAACTCCAAGCATTAGAAGATACAGAACAGCCCCCCTTTTTCTTTTCTTTTTGGACGTACCATTTAGAAGGAAAAGTAACACTTTCTTCAAAATGTTTTTTGCTTGTTGCAAGTCTGCATATCTGTTATGGTACCGACTAAGCAATGCACAGAATTAAGATTTTTATTTAGCAACAATATTTACACAGTAAGCCTCATCTGAAGCAATTACTAGCAATCAGTGCTTTTCCAACTCAGTAAAAAAGAAATGCAGTATCTGATATTTAAGTTCACTGGTGACTTTATCCTGAGTGGAGTTCTCCAGTTGGGACCCCTAGTATAGCAGTATCACAGTTCTGGTACCTGAATAGATGCAGTTCTGTACATGCCAAAAATAAATGATTCCAGGACCCTGTTTTAAGATGCACCATTACCTCATTTGGAATTAACTAGGGTCTGTGTGGCCCTCCTTACCTGGGCTTTTATGTTTATAATGCTTTTCTGTCTAACTCTAATAAGGTTTTATCAATGCAAAAATAGAGGGCTGTTGTTTGGTCCTTGTTTTAATGCTGTTTTCGTATGTATCAGTATTAGTTTATTGAAGATCCCATTAACAGGAAGCTGTAATAAGATGCAAATGGCCATGTATGTCACATAATGTTCCCTTTTGCAGAGTGGATCTGTGGAACAATGGAAATCTTGCCCAAGATGTTTTTCTTGGAGAGGTCAGAACGTCAGTGAGTGTTTTAAGGAATGATTCGACCCACAGGCATGGTATGTATCCCTTCTTTTGACAGGACACTGATTTCCCTACTGTGTATGTATTCCTCTTACAGCACTTTTACAGAGAATGCAGAACCATTTACATCACTGGCTAGTAGTAGTCACATTCAACTCTGCTTGTTCTGTAATGTTGAATATATTTTGCAGCTTATCCAATCCACTCCAATGAGTTTCAAGATCATACCACAATATGTATAGCCACATGGATAACTCTGAATATACTCCATATGATTGTTACTGCATGTCTATGCTTTCTTATCTGTCTGTTACCCACATATTATGCTGTTGACCATCTCGCATCAGCAATTTTATAGCTATTCACACCTTCATATTAATAAAATAGGATGCATTAGGTGACATTCATACATCCCATCGTGCTATTAAATCATTAACATCTGCCTTAGCACATTCCATGGTGATTGGATTAATGCAACATAGTTATCCAGGTGAATATAAATGCCAGGTTAGATTCCTGACAGCCATTGGAACTGAAGAAGCTGCTTGGGCATTAACAAACACCTTCAGTATTTCAGAACAAGTCCAGTTGACTACTCTGTATGTCAAGACCTGGATAAATAAGAACCTTCACAGACATGTAAGCCCTCCTAAAGAAATAGGTTTACACCTGTTATCACCAGCATGCAGACATTTACACACATAGGTGAATTGTGTGTTAAAGCTGCTTTACACTCAAGCACTCTTCTTATAGCAGTTGTTTCTAGATGTGGGTTATGAGATTAGCTAGTTTTTATTCTTAATTGTGTTAAATGAGGTTTCCGATTACAAACTATCAGAGGGTTTTAGCTTCTCTACATTGAAAAAATGACCTTCATTTGCAGATTCCTATAAAGGCTTGGTAGGACTGGATATTGCATTAAAGTACACCTGTCATGACGGAAGTAATATGACCTGCCATTTCTGGCTATGATGCTTTTGCAAATTCTAGTTGCCTACCCATTAGGTTGATGCGTTGCCTCCAAGGCTTTCTGGAACACTGTCTAAAACAAATATACAGATAATAATATAAAGAATCTGGATGCTGTATGTTTGTTCCAAGTTTGTGAAGTACTAAAGCCAGAAACTGCCAGGCAGATAGCTTTTTCAGACTGAGCCTGCAGCTACAGCCCTGCTTGATGTACTGAAAGCATTTACATTCATCACCACCTGCTGGTCAAATCTGGTATTACAGCCTTTTATTAAATATTACAGGTACTTGTATAGCGCTGTCAATTTACGCAGCACTTTACATATATATTGTACATTCACATCAGTCCATAACCCTGAAAGGGAATACAATTTAAGGTCCCTAACTTACATTCATACATACACATACTAGGGCCAATTTAGACAGGAGCCAATTAACCTACCAGCATGTCTTTGGATTGTGGGAGGAAACCAGAGTATCCAGAGGAAACCCACACAGGCACAGGGAGAACATGCAAACTCCAGGAAGGTAGTGTCGTGGTTGGGATTCGAACCAATGACCCTAATACTGCCAGGCGGAAGTGCTAACCATTTAGCCACTGTGCTGCAGTCATTGCATGTTTAACACCAACTTGTCATTAAAAAAAATGTGACCGCTACTAATTCTGAATTTTCATTCAGAAAATGCTGTGGAATTTTTGAAATGGCAGTCAACAATGGATCACTATTCCCTTCACTGACATCAATGATAAACATTATTTTTCCTCCCACTAACCACAGGCAGTAGGCCATTTTGTACCCCCACTGCTCAGCAGTCCTAGGGCATTTTTCACTCCTACTTTCCACCAAGTGTGCAGCATCATTTATGCTCACTGACCATGGATGCTGGGGCATTTGCTGTTCCCACTGGCCATCACCAGTAGGACCAGTGCCAATGTTTTTTGTTTGTGTCAGAGTTGCTTCTGTCCTTCACAAGTTTAAAAAAGAATGCATAACCAGATTTTGAAGCAGGTTAAATGCTTGAGAGGTGAACTGCAGGCTAAAAGCACTTGTCAATAATTTTTCTAAATTCTCTCAAAAGCATTTGCCCATTGACACAAGCCCAAAGCCCATCAAGTCAATCTTCTAAAGTGGCAACCTAAGTATTTTTTTTTTTTTTTTTTTTAGGGGGCAATAAGTGCTTCAAAGTGTGAGGGTTTTGTTTTTTTTTTTACTAGGGGCTAGTGCCAGTATATCCTATATAACATAACATGTTGCTCTGCTTCACCAACTGGGATAGAGCAAATGTACAGGAGACAGCATCGGTCACATGTCTGGTATCCTTTTTATAAGCAGGGTAAATATTTCTGAAACTTTGAGACTCCATACGCACTGGACTAAAAAAAAAAAATAAATAAAAAAAAAAAAAAAAAAGAGAGAGAGTTCCCTTAACAGACAAAAATGCTCATATAGAGTGTTTTTGTGCAATTTTTAGGTGCGTTTAGGAGTGTTTTGCATTTTTTTTCTGCCAGAAAACTCCAATAACAAACGCATACCAGAAGGGCTTTTTTATGCCTCTAAACGCTGAGCTTAAAATATGCCTTTAAACGTCCTAATGTGCACGGATACATAGGGTAACATTGACTTGCTTCTACAGACAAAACACAGAATTTCTGTAGAAGTGGAGCTGGAGCAGTGTGCATGGAATCTGAATGTCAGTGGTATGATGCATCTATGGTAACATTAGGTGTTTGCCCCTACTGTGTATGTATGCAGGTACAGGTAGTAATCTCTTCCAAAAATGAACTCATCAGCAATTGCAACAAAACTATTACTAGACCTTATCCCTCTTGCCATTTTGTAATTGTTACCATGCAGAAGTTAGACTTTGGTTTATTTTTTTGTGTCCAGGTATCTTCTCCAGCCAAAAGACAATGGAAGTAAATCCTCAAAGTATGATGACCTTGGGTCCCTGAGGCTGAGTATCTCCTATACAGAAGACTATGTGCTGTCTTCAGACTTCTATTCACCTCTAAGAAGTCTGCTGGTGAAATCACCAGATGTTCAGGTACCTAATAACACGAGTCATAAAGACCTTGAATATTATTTATGAGCAAACATTTACACCAAAATAAAATGCTAAAGTTATCATTTGAATTCCAAACAGTGGAAAGCTCCAGCAGCTGCTAGAGTTTAAATACATTCTTCCTAATTGTTAGATAAAAGAGATAACAAGCATATAGTTCATCAGTTTCTTCATATTACAAATATAGAACTTTTATTAAAAACTCATATGTGCTGGGTTGTACCATTTCCTCTTATCAGTATATTAAAAAAGACCTTATGTATATGACCCATCTGCTGGCTGTCAGAAGGTTAATCAAACTGATTCAATACAGATCATGGTATAGTGGATTTCTGTAGTGCCTACTGTTATATATTGCATAGTGATATTGACCTCCAGAGGATTTACCCCCCTTCCTGACCAGGCAATGTTTTGTGATACGGCACTGTGTTACTTTAAGTGTTCATTGCATGGTCATGCAGCGCTGTACATACATGAAATTTATGTTCTTTTTTTCCCCACAAATAGTGCTTTCTTTCGGTGGTATTTGATCACTGCTGAGTTTTTTATTTTTTTGTGTTTATAAACAAAAAAAGACTGACAATTTTGAAAACAAAACAATATTTTTGACTTTGTTGCTATAAAATATCCAATAAAAAAAATGTAATCAAAATTCTTCATAAATTTAGGGCAAAATGTATTCTTCATGTCTTTGCTAAAAAAAAACCCCCAAAACTTCCAATACATGTAAATTAATTGGTTTACGTGTTAGTTATAGCGTCTACAAATAGCAGTATACAGGCATACCTCGGTTTACGAATTTAATTCGTTCTGTGGGACTTTTCATATAGCAAACAATTCACAAACCGAAATGCCGTTTCCTTTAGGAACGCATTGAAAACAAATTAATCCGTTCCTGAGGTCAGAAAAAAGTAAACGCTACTAAAATACCGCATGAGTTATTTTATCAAGTCATGCAGTATTTTAGTAGTGACAACCATGTGTTAATGTTTCAGCTGTCAGCAGGGTTCTCCACTGACAGCTGAATGTAAAAGAATTGCCGGCAATGTGAAAAAAATAAACAGCATGGAGTCCCCCCTCCCATCCATACTAAGCCCTTCGGGTCTGGTACGGAGCTTGATGGGAACTCCCACGCGAAAATGTAAAAAAAAAAAAAAAAATTGCATGGGCCCTCCCCAAAATCCATACCAGACCCTTATCCGAGCATGCAGCCCAGCAGATCAGGAAAGGGGTGTACGAGCGAGCCCCCCCCCCCCCCCCGAAAAATACAAGGCCACATGCCCTCAACATGGTGGGGTGCTTTGGGGCAAAGCACCTTGTCCCCATGTTGATGGGGACAAGGGCTTCTTCCCCATAACCCTGGACTGTGCGCAGGGGGCTTATCGGAATCTGGAAGCCCCTTAAACAAAGGGGCCCCCAGATCTCACCCCCTCCGTGTGAATGAGTATGGGGTACACGGTCCCGATACTCATTCACAAAAAACAAAGTGTAGTGTGAAAAAAGACAGAACACGTTCTTTGACAAGTCCTTTATTAAAATGTAAAATAAAATATTTTGTAAAATAAAAGAATGTCCCTCATAGTAGATCCAACGTCAATCACGATGCCTGCCGCCAACCCGAAAAAATAATTTAAAAAAAGAAAAAAAAAGCTCTGCTTCCGACAATGGCTCCCGCTGTCTGCCTGCTCTGGTGGCTTGACAGTTCTTCAATAGGTAAGGGGCAGGGCCATCCAGGGACATCATGCATGTGACCCCACATGGGGCGGGGTAACTCAGGAGATGGCCCCAGGTGGCCCGCCCCTTACATATTTAAGAACCGTCAAACCACCGGAGCAGGCAGACAGCAGGAGCCGTTGTCAGAAGTGGAACCTTTTTTTTTTTTTTTTTTTTTTTTTTTTTTTTTACATTTTTTCAGGTCGGCGGTGGGCATCGTGATTGACGTTGGATCTACTGTGGGGGAAATCCTTTTAGTTTTTTCTTTTAATAAAGGACTTGTCAAATAACGTGTCCTGTCTTTTTTTCACACTACACTTTTTGTTTTTTGTGACTATCGGGACCATGCACCCATATTCACATGGGGGGTTCGGGATCTGGAGGAGCACCCTTGTTAAAGGGGGTGTCCAGATTCCGATAAGCCCCCTGCCCACGGCCCCTACAACCACTGGCCAGGGTTGTGGGGAAGAGACCCTTTAGAAGGGGAGCCCCCCTGCCCCAAAGTACCACCCATGTTGAGGGCATGTGGCCTGGTATGGTTCTGGAGGGGGGGGGGTGCTTGCCCCCCCCCCCCCTTTCCTGACCTGCCGGGCTGCATGCATGGATATGGGCCTGGTATGGATTTTGGTGAGGACCCCCATGCCATTTTTTATTTATTTTTTTTTATTTTGGCATAGGAGTTTCCCTCAAAATCCATACCGGACTATAAGGGCTTTGTATGGATGGGGGGACCCCATACCATTTTTTTTTTTTTTTAATTTATTATAGTGCCGGTTTTTAAATGTAATTACCGCTTTTTTTTTCTTCACTATAGCTCAGATTCAGATGTCACTTCCCCCCAGCTAAAAGAAAGAAAGTTACCTTTTAGTTTATTTCCCCAAGTTAAAAGAAACAATGTTTCCTTTTAGTTTCTTAAAGGAAACAAAGCTTCCGTTTACTCCGGGGAAAGTGACAGCTAATTCTGTGAGCCATAGTGAAGAAAAAAAAAAAGCCGGCAATTGCATTTAAAAATCAACACCGATATACACTTCGTATTGCCTAAAAAATTTGTAAACCAAGGCATTATTTTCAATGGATTTTCATTCGTAAACCGCAAATTACGGTAACCGAGGTGTTTGTAAACTGATGTACACCTGTATATACTGGAATTCTTATTTTTTTTATACTAGTAATGGCGACGATCAGCGACTTCATGTGGGACGGCTGTGGGCATTCTGACACTGGGTGGGAACTGACTAACAGCCACTCACATCCCCAGTGACACTATTACATTGATCAGTGCTAATAGAAGGCACTGACACTGTACTAATGGCACTGGTCAGGAAGGGGTTAACTGTGTGCTGTGTGTGTTTTTATCTGACGATTGCCGAGTGCCGGCCAGGAAATCCTTTGGTGATTGACATCCTTAGCCACTAACAGTTGTGCGGGTAGGGCAGCGTGTTCGCCCCCTACCTGGAAATGCAAATCACGTATATATACATGATTTTATGCAGCCCTGCCACACTGTAGCAGTACTTCTACCATAGGGCGGTCAGGAAAGTGGTTACGCTACCAACAACATTGAAGTATTCTTTGAAATGCATTGGCAAACACTTTAGTGATGTCACTCAAGCATGCTCAGTTAAGACCAGCGTATGCCGCACCGTAGGAGCTCCTTTTTCTCTTACATTCATTGACTGACACAACTCTTTTAATCTTGACCATTTATATCTTGACCAGGGTTATATTGCCACCTACAGGAATAGGACACTAGGCAGAAAAAGAACACAGCACTGCCTATCAGCAGTCCTAGCTGGTATAAACTCCCTGTCTGCTATAGGTAATGTAATCATTTCTGCCTGGTGCCTTAGGAGTATGGACTTGTTGTTTCAGCTGGGACTTTTGCTCCCACAGCTTTTTTTCTTTTTTTGTGGAATTTTTCTTCTATCAACAGTTTGGATGGGCAATAAGCTGGATAATCTAGATCCAGTGGTCACCCCCAACTGACCAGCGCGCGCAGACCGCTAGCTCAGCGCTTGGTCAGCCGCGACTATGCCCAATCCTGGACCGGGGCAGCCAGCGAGTTAAACGTCTCATATGACACACATGACCTGGCACCTATAGTCTGTGTCACAGGGCTACCCATGCTGACAGCCCCCCCATTTCGTTGGAGAAGAGGATCTGTCTTGGGAGCCTTACCTGCTTGCTCCTCTGGACTGGTAAGTTGATGCTGTGACGAACGTGGTGCCTGACCCCTGCCCTTCTCACCAACTTGTGACAAAGGACTAGCCAATCTCTCACCATGCTGTCACTTGCGTAACAATACCACCCTCAGCTGCACCCTGCACAGAGATTTTCCAGCTTGTGGGACCAAAATCTATGTGCCAGTAGCCTGAGAGCGATTGTCACTGGGTTCGTTATTTAAGCAATTAACCCTTTAAATCACATTTTTACTGAGAAGGGGGAAACTCACAATCTTAGCAATAACACTATGATTTTAGCATAAACGTCTGCAACACACACTGTCAACACAGACCGATATATTCAGGGGATTATGATCAAGAGACAGCGATTCTTTAGTTTGCATTAAAAGCCTTAGAAAAAGTTTTAACACTTTTCAAAATAGGGTTTATTAATGAAAATGTCAAATGGTGCAATGAAAATATTTACAGAAAAGGATGTTACAAAGACATAAAGTGAACAATAACGCAACAGAGAAATAAAAAGAGGTGAAAATGGACAATTGGACTTTCAAGTATTCTCCAAGCAAAAATATTGCCATGGCTCTCTTGGATGTTCCTTGGTTGATGTTAAAATGAGAGCTTACTTCCCAGGTTCTGTCTTCTCCTTTTCTGTGATATCAAAGGAGTGTGGACAGAGACCATCTGACCAATATTCTGATTTAAGGGATGGGTGCTGAGAGGCCACCACGTTTATGACCAATTCGCAAGTACAGTTTTACACTAATATTAATAACTTCCAATACGTGCAGGTGGTAAGCTAGAAGCTGATAGAATAATATTCAGTATTATAGTTCATATCCAGGGATACCAAACAGAGCATACCTTTGTCACCCATGAGGCAGGAGACTGTTTTCTCTCCTTTCGTATGTGCTAGGGTAGGCATGTATGACAAACAACAAAAGAGAAGTTCCCAGCTCAACTTGCAAGCCAGCTTGCAAGCAAACCGAATAAACCTGTCTAACAGTATGCGTTAAAACAGGGGTTTAGTTAGCACACATTTGCAAATACATACGTAAGCTACAGAGCCACGTCACGGCACCCCAATATTCTGTAGTCCCAACTCTACAAATTGTCATGTATGACCTTGATTTATTCGGTATGATATTCCCCATTCAAATCTATACCTAATATGTCCTGTTGAATTCTATGAATTGTAGGTGGAATTGTAAAGTTGTGGAATAGAGGTTTTATGGCATGCTCTGCATTCCTAGAGCTTTAATGGCCTTACACTTCTTTTGTGACAGGTGTGACTGAGTTATAATCGTTTTACGATAGGTCAGAGGGAAGAGTTTTTCCTGCCAAGACTTAATTAGCTGTTTACACCCTGTTCCAAATTATTATGCAAATTCTATTTTTCTCATTTACCTAAATAATTGATGTAAATAACAGTCAGCATAATTCTCATGTTATCAACTATTAAGAGTACAATTCACATTTTATTGAACAAACCTCCTAATGATAACAGTATTTTTTTTAAACATAATCTTACAATGCATTGTTCCAAATTATTACGCACAGTAAGTTTCAAAACACTTTATAGGTTGTAAAGAACTGAAAATTGTCATTTGTTGTGTTTGCAGCGTATTTACTGAAATCAAAAGCTATTTCAATCAAACGTTTAACAACATTTTAACTTTTTAAACATTTTAACAGGTCACGTTACATTTTAACATAGGACCCCTTATTTGATAGCAGCTTCACAAGTCTTTCATCCATTGAACTTGTGAGTTTTTGGACAGTTTCTGCTTGAATTTGTTTGCAAGATGTCAGAATAGCCTCCCAGAGCTGCTGTTTGGATGTAAACTGCCTCCCACCCTCATAGATCTTTTGCTTGAGGATGCTCCAAAGGTTCTCAATAGGATTGAGGTCAGGGGTGGATGGAGGCCACACCATGACTTTCTCTCCTTTTATCCCCATAGCAGCCATTGATGCAGAGGTATTCTTTGCATCATGAGATGGTGCATTGTCATGCATGAAGATGATTTTATTACGGAAAGCACAGTTCTTCCTTCTGAACCAGGGAAGAAAGAGATTAGTCATAAACTCCACATACTTTGCAGAGGTCATCTTTACACCTTCGGGGACCCTAAAGGGGCCGACCAGCTCTGTTCCCATGATTCCGGCCCAAAACTAGACTCTACCACCGCCTTGCTGACGTCGCAGCCTTGTTGGAACAGGGTGGCCGTCCACCTACCATCCACTACTCCATCCATCTGGACCATCCAGGGTTGCACGGCACTCATCAGTGAACAGGACTGTTTGAAAATTAGTCTTCATGTATTTTTCTGCCCAATGCAGCCGTTTCTGCTTGTGAGCATTGGTTATTGGTGGCCGAATAGAAGGTTTATGCACGGTTGCAAGACTCTGCGGGACTCTACACCTTGATGTCCGTGGGACCCCAGAGGCACCAGCAGCTTCAAATATCTGTTTGCTGCTATGTAATGGTATTTTAGCTGCTGCTCTCTTGATCCAATGCATGGATCTGGCAGAAATCTTCCTCAATGTGCCTTTATCTGCATGAACCCGTCCATGCTCTGAATCAGCCACAAATCTCTTAATAGTGCGATGATCGCGCTTAAGTTTTTTGTGAAATATGACCAGGATTGCCGTGCTGCTGTGTGCTGGAAATACCCGCTGTGTGGATGCTCTGCTGTGTGCTGAGAAGTGTTGCTACCTGCTGTCGGCTGCTGTGAGCCAGGAAAAAACCCTGCCAGAACTGTGAGTGTCCTTGCCCCCTGTTTTCCCCCTGTATGGACTATCCGTGAACTTTCCCCCCCTTACTCTTCCCTGCCTGGATTACAATTTACCAGGGACTCCAAGTTTGCCCTCCCTGGGGCCGGTTTACAATTATTTTGGCCCCTTCCCTACTCCTCCCCTGCTCCAGAGACTGGGACGCTACCCTCAGACCCAAATTGAGTGAATTCTCATAATTCAATAAAGCTTTGAGTGTTTATCATCTTCTCGGTGTGGTCTGTCCTGCCTACGCTCCGTTACATCAGGTTTCTTCTTTCTGGTTATGGAGTTTTGATGCATAGTATGTACATTTGTACGTGTTCCTATTTTTGTGCACTGTTGGTGTTTTCCATGGGTCTATGCCATTTTGTGCCATTTAGGTGCTACACTAGACTGATTCTTCTGTGTGGTGTTTTGGGTGTCCAGACCCTTTTTCTTTCATGGAAACCGCACTAGGTTTCCACATTTACTCCTGTTTGGGATGGCATATTTTTCACTTAGTGGCGTTAGTCTTGGGGTTCTCACTATCATTCCTCCTCTGCAACTATGTAAATAGCTGAGTCCTCTGCTTTCTTCTATCTGGTAGTGGAGTATTGATTTATAGTATGTACTTTTTTATGTGTTTGTGTAATGACAGTGTTTTCTGTGGATCTATGGTCTTGTGGCAGATGCTATTCACACTCCTATAATTGTTTCCTTTGGCACATCTGGGGTGTTTAGTATCAATTGTTTTATTATTTTTTCATGGTACTTATTCTGGATGGTCCATGCCTGCCTTGTATTTGCCATGTGCTAGGGCGGCCATCTTGTAAGTATTCATTACCTGTTTTGTTCCACTTTTTCTGTAATTTGTCATTTTTATGTAGGAGCTATTTTTGATGGCTTGTTTTCAGCTAGCATATTTTGCTTTTTTGATGAGCTATTGTGTTTTTACTCCATTTGTGATCTTTTTTTTACCTTTTCCCTGTATTAATCTGTATTTTACCTTTTAATCCTTGCACTGTGTGAGGTCATCACTAGGTGGTGGTGTTGGTGGGTGGGACTTTGAGTTTATTAGTCAGTCCATCTTTCTCAAGACACTACAACATAGAAGTGAACAGAGCTTCATCGAAACGTTGATAATAAAAACACTGCTGTTTTTGATCTTCCTCCTCTGCAAGACCCATGAGTTCCTCTAAACCAGTTTTGGATTTATATGGATTTCTTTGTGGGTGAGCACCTGGGCATTTATCGTAAACCTAGAGTGCCGTGGTTACTTTTTGGAACTGTAGTACATTATAGAGAGTTTTGAGCCATTGGGGTTGATTTACTAAAGGCAAATGGATTGTGCGCTTTCAAGTGCAGTTGCACTCCTTTTTCCCAGAGCTTGGTGAATGTGGTGAAGCTTCACTTTGTAAAAGAATACCCAATCAGGTATATGCAAAATTGAAAAAAAAAACAAACCTATTGTATTTTTGCGTGCACATGATTGATGATGGAACTTCGCCACATTCAGTAAGCTCTGGGGATAATGAGTGCAACTGCAGTTGCAATGTGCACAGTCCATTTGCCTTTAATAAATCAACCCCACTTTTTATCACTTACATCTACTTTAACATGCACCTTATGGCATAGTTTACATGAGTATAGAGGCGTACAGCTGTTCATTTCAATGACAAGTTGTACGCTCCACCTGCGTCTCCCCAGCTGCAGGAAAACAGAGTTTTTTTTTTCACTCTGGGCATATCTTCTGCTTATATGCATCCGTGTGAATGATACCTTAATCTTCAAATCCAGAGTCTCAATCGTAGTTGCACTAATTCATGTTAAGGCCAAACTTGACACAAGTAAGTGAATGAATATATAGCTTAAAAGTTACCAAGAAGCAGGATATACTTTTCCCTAATGATTGTGTATGTCTTTCTGTTCCAGCCAATCACTGCCTCAGCTGCCTTTATCCTGGGAGAAGTATGTAGAGATAAAAATGATGCTGTCCTCCCGCTGGTCCGACTCCTTCTCCACTATCAAAAACTAGTACCATTTGTGGCAACAATAGCACAGCTGGACCTGAACGATACACAGTATGTACCTATACAAAATACATGTTAAAGTAGTTTTGGTTATTGACTCCAAGATGTACAATGCACAAATGCCTTCCCTTTTTTTTTTTTTTTTAATATAGAGAAGCTAATACTATTTTCCGAGGAAACTCCCTGGCTACCCGCTGCATGGATGAGACAATGAAGATAGTTGGTAATCATTATCTGAAGGTGACTCTGAAGAGTGTTATAGATGAGGTAACTGTTAAACATGTTTTAAGGGTACAAATTTTTGGTAATATTGATTTAGCAACATATGAAGTATATATGTTCTCCGAATAATGTCATTTTTATCGCAGTTTCACAGTGCAGACCTAGGTGGTCATTTAGCTGCTGCATCTAATTTTTTCAGCTTTTGTTATATAGGGTGCTGCAAGAGTGACTGGCTGAACAGTTCAATCTATATCACAAACACATAATGATGGTGATTCCAACTCATCCCTTCGATAACTTTTTTTTATATAATTTCCCTCCTGTGTGTTTACCATCCTTTTAAAACTCCATGCTATACCACCATAGGTCATGAAATATACTTAACTGTGCACACAAACATTTTGATCTATATTCAAAGCAGCATTAAACCCAAAACAAAACAATTCTATTACAGCTTACCAACCATGCTGCATTAGTTTTCTTTTTCTTTGGCTTGTTTTTCTCTGTTTTCACCTGGTGAACTGGCCGATAACACACCACCTGTGTTGATGAGACACCACTCTGAATGAATGAGCACAGGAGGCACAGCAGACCCCAGCATTGTCAGTCTGGAGGGGGGGGGGAGGGTAGTGTTTCACCGCCTGCCTACCGGGCACTTATACCCCCTTCTTTACCAGGCCAATTTTCAGCTTTCAGCACTGTCGCACTTTGACAATTGCGCGGTCATGCAAGATTGTACCCATATGAAATTTTTATCATTTTTTTCTCACAAATAGAGCTTTCTTTTGGTGGTATTTAATCGATGCTGGGCACTTTACTTTTTGTGCTATAAACAAAAAAATTTGCAAAAAATTAGAAAAAAAAGTTTTTGTTCTATTATAAAATTTTTCAAACAGGTAATTTTTCTCCTTCACTGATGTGCGTTGATGAGGCGGCACTGATAGGCAGCACTAATGAGGCGTCACAGATAGGCAGCACTGATAGGTGGCACTGACTAGCATTACTGCTGGGCACTGACTGCGGCACTGCTAGGCACTGACTGGCACAACCGCTGGGCACTGACTGGCACAACCGCTGGGCACTGACTGGCACAACCGCTGGGCACTGACTGGCACAACCGCTGGGCACTGACTGGTGGCACTGACTGGCAGCACTGATGGGCACTGGTGGGTGGGCACAGGTGGGTGACACTGCTGGGCACAGGTGGGTGACACTGCTGGGCACAGGTGGGTGACACTGCTGGGGGCACAGGTGGTGACACTGCTGGGTGGCTCAGGTGGGTGCACTGCTGGGTGGCACAGGTAGGTCCACTGCTGGGCACAGGTGGGTGGCACTGCTGGGCACCAATCATCAGGGTACTGATGATCAGTGCCGATCCCTGCTCTGACAACTGCCGGTTCTCGGCAGTACTTTCCTCACGCTCTGACAGCGTGAGGAAAGTGCAGCTGAGAACCGGCAATTGCATTTCCCGGTGATCAGCGTGTCATTGGACACGACTGATCACGTGGTAAAAGGCCGCTGTGATTGGCTTTTTACCACATCACGTGATCAGCTGTGTCCATAGGAGCAATCACGGAGATCGCCAGGTGCGCGCTCCCCGGGGCACGCAGGAGAACGCGTTCTGGGAGGACATCATATGACGCCCTCCCAGAACTAGCCGGCCGCAGTGTAGCCGTCATTCGGCTATCTGCGGTTGACAAGTAGTTAAAGGTATTAGCAGAGTTAATACTTTATAATCAGTTATAGCAAACTGTTTTCTTCCATTTGGTGTAATGGTTTTACATGAATAATAAAATCTGACCATTTAATCAGCCCTGTCAGCGTTTAATGGTTTGTTTTATCCATGTAAACTTCCACATTCTGCTGGAGAGCTTGTGCTTTTGGCTGGATTACCAGATGAAAATAGAAAACCTAAAAAAAGAAAACATATCCAGTCATCACATGTAAGAATTGGTAAGCTACAATATAATACATGTTTGCTTTTTGTTTGAATACCACTTTAATAGCTTGATCTGTTGCTTTTAACAAAGAGAATGCTCACCCTGGACTTCATATTTTAGATATGTGATTCCCCGAAACCCTGTGAGATAGACCCTAATCGTCTAAGAGAAGGGGACAACGTGGATAATCACAAGGTGCGTCTTCTGTTTAAAGATCGTTCATGGCATCAGACACAGAATATGCAGCTAAAGCAGTGTATCCCACATGCATATTTATCTTGCTTACTTACCTCTGGAGCTCCACCAGTGAGGTGGTCATCTGGAACAGCTGATGCAACTGGTTACTTTTTCAGGCCTATCTGCCTTTTGAAGTTAGTAGCTTTATCCTTTATAGAAACTTGGACACCTCTTATTAATGAGTATTAATGATTCCAGAGAAGACAAATCTGAAACTCTTATCCAGGTTGTCATATATTTGTGTGCTGTTGTCAAAATGACCCTCTTCAAGGCTTTGAGAACTTATCCTAACTGCCCACTGTTCCAGCTTTTGTTTTTTAGTATTATTTGCTGCAATAATCTCCTGAAACCATTGCATATTCACCTTTACCACTGAAAGCAAACCTTTACTCACATGTTAGATAGATATAACGTCATCCTAACCACCGCCTCTTTATTTTTTACACATGTCAATATATTTTTTTATTGGGGTGGGGGGGAGGGGTGGTGGTGTTACAAGTTTACCTGCTCCCATGCTTCATGACATGGCTTCCGCACTCCCTCTCCCTCCCTTCCTCCTGTGCCTCCTGGAATCACATCACACATCCCAGGAAGCTTCAGGACATCCTCCCCAGTCACTGCCACTTGCCAATGTAGTATGAGTTATGTTTTTTTTTTTTTTTTTTGTTTTAAAACCACGTGATCTTCCTCTTTATTTCTTACATTTAACTAATTTATAAAGATACTCCAATTAAAACTTTAAACTATTCCTGGTAAAATTAAAATGCTAGCCAGTAGAGGGCAATATTTAGGTTGCTTAGAAAATAAAAGTATAAGGCAATAAAC